CGTGCTAGGCACAGCCTGGCATGCTGGGAGAAGGGGCAGGGACCGGCGCAGCCTGGCAGCCTCTCGCAGGAGCCGGGGTTTCCGGGCATGGGCTCGGGGCTGTGGTCACTCAGGTTGACAGCAGAGGCCACTCTGAAAGGCAGGCCTGGAGCTGACCCCCGACTATGAATCAGGGAAGGAGTTGTGCACTCTTCTGTGAAGTCTTTCCCCTGAGGCGGGGGCTCAGAATGGCTGGAGCAAGACTCTGAAAAATCAGGTGTGAATGGGAGAAGAAGAGGAGGAAAGAGGAATAGAAGGACAGCACGAATGCAGTACAGAGGAATAGAACGGCAGTACTTGTCCATTCAGACAACTTAAACTGGTCAGTGACAAGACCAGGCACTGGTGTCCCTCCCTACGGGGGCTTTGCCTGCCTGACTCACCAGGCTCAAGGTCACTTGAAAGGCAATGTGGGCAGGGGTGTCACATCCTATCTCCTAGCAGAAGAGAGAATTCAGTCTTTGAAAGTATGAGAGTTGGGGGATGTTTGTCACAAGAGCATAAGCTATCTCCACTGACTGATACACTGGGCCATGTGTGAGTATTTCATCCCAAAGCAGCCCTGACCAGGCACAGCTGTCCACCCCTGTCCAGGGTGAATACTCTCTGAGACCCCAGTGGATGCTTGAAAACCCACATCACGTAGAACCTCCCGAGACCATTTTCTTATTTGTCCTCCCCCACAGGGCTTGGCCACCCCAGCACGAGGGCTTTCTTAAGTCAAAAATGTTGACAGCTGGTGCCGGTGGCTCACACCTGTATCCTAGCTGCTCAGGAGGCTGAGATCTGAGGATCGCAGTTCAAAGCCAGCCCAGGCAGGAAAGTCCGTGAGACTCTTATCTTCAATACACCGCTAGAAAACTGGAAATGGCGCTGTGGCTCAAGTGGTAGAGCGCTCACCTGGAGCTGAAGAGCACAGGGACAGCACCCAGGCCCAGAGTTCAAAGCCCACGACCGACAAAAAAGAAAAAAAAATGTTGTCAGTTGCTGGTGGTTCACGCCTGTCATTCTCCTAGCTACTTAGGAGGCTCTAAGGATCGAGGCTCAAAGGCAGATGGAGCAGGAAAACGCACAAGACCCTTAGCGCCAATTAACCGGCAAAAAAAAACAAAAACAAAAACTGAAGTGGAGGTATGGTTCAAGAGGTAGAAGTCCATCTTGAGAAAGAAAGAAAAAAAGCCAAGTAGAAGCACAGGGAAGTCAGTTCAGTTCAAGACCCAGTAGCAGAGAGAGAGAGATGGGGAGGGGAGGAGGAGGAGGGGGAGGAGGAGGAAGAAGAAGAAGAGGAGGGAAAAAAGAAGAGGGAGGGAGGGAGGGAAGGAGGGAGGGAGGGAGGGAGGGAGGGAGGGAAGGAGGCGCAGGCTAGAACAGAAGGAGAGCCTTGGAACTCTATCTTACAGATGAGGTTAGCCAAGTGCTGACAGCTTAAAGAACCGTGTCCAAAGCAGTTGTAAGCTAGCGACGTTGGGACGTGAGCCAAACCTGTGGCTGGGTGGGGCAGGCTCATGTTCCCACTTCACAGACCGGGAAGCTGAGGCTCCAAGCAGAAAAACCGCCCGCCAAAGCAAGCCATGGAGTACTGGCCCTTTGTCTTCTCCTCCCCCTCCTCCCCTCCCTCCCCCTCCCCCGCCCCTTCCCCAGAACATGAGTCCGGGCCCCTGGGTTGCCGCAGGAGGCCCTCCCCATGCCCAGCATGCCCAGCGGGGCTCAGGAACCCCCTCTGAGAGCTCCAAGCGTAGGAGCCCTGCCCGCTGCATCTGCCCAGGCGTTTCTCCAAGCTCTTCGCCACTTGTCGCTATCTCCCGCTTCTGGGCGGGAGGCTCTGGTTGGCATTAGCACCCCGCGCCCCGCGGTGGTCCCAGGCGGGCCCTGGGCTCCATCCAAAAAGTGTCAGACTCCGCCAGGCCGTCCTGACGACTTATCTAACGTGGAACATCAAATGGTTTGATCTGCCAATTAGGCGCCCCCGGAGCTGCTAACTGGAAGCAGATGGCTCTGTCCATCACGGGCTGGGAAATGTGTGCTCCCCACGTCCCCGCCGCACGGGGCCCGCCCCGGGCACCCCGAGACCAGCCTCCTCCTGGGATGGCAGGCTCAGCCTTGTCCCCTGCACCCGGAGGACTGCGGGGGGGGGAGGTATGTAGGCCTCAGTGGCTCAACCCCAGGGACCCCCAACTCCCCCTGGGTCACAAGCTCTGCTAACCACCCCCCTGGGGTCTGTCTGCGTTTACAAACCGGGTTGTTCCTGCCACTGAGCTTACATCCAGGCCTGCAGAGGCGCAGGGTTCGGGGGGGACACAAACCACCTGAGGGTGTCCTTTTGCCCCTTTGGTGGCCAAACCCACCCAACGTCTTTGGAGGCTGCTCCCCCATCGAAGCCAGGGCTCCCCTTCCTCCTCTTCCTCTCACCTGCAAAGCCGAGGTCCCCAGGTCCCATGCCCTGAGGCGAGTCCTGGCCTAACTCAACATCCACTCAGTCCCCCCGACACACACACACCTTGAGTCCCCCCCCCCGGACGGGTGAATACCAGCCCCCAATGCCCAGCCTTCTCTTCATCCAGATCTGAGCCCCGCACCGTGAGGTCTTCCCATTCCCACCCCACAGCCCAGCCCATTCCTGCGTGCGTCCTTCTCTAGAAAGCGCCTGCACTGGGCCCGGGGCCCCCCTCGCTGCATGGCCATCTTCATGGAGCAGGTGGACAGAAGCTCCCCCCCCCCCGCCATGTTGTTTCCTATCACCAGAGAGAGGGAAACAAGGCAATCCATGCATGGCACATTGCCTGGGATCCGTGTGAGGCAGAAAGGGAAAATGAGGGACAGAGCCTCAAGATGATCCCGGAAGAGCACTTTAATCAGAGGAAGCTGTCTGTGCAAAGGCCCTGAGACAGACACATGGCTTCCCCACCCCCGTGTCCTCCCGCCAGCTCCCTGAAGCGTGGGTCCCCCGGGCTGGGAGATGTCCTCCCACTGCGTACTGCAGCTTCCAGGCCGGCCACAGAGCGGTGATTTCTGTGGTAGGCTGGGGATGGGACTCACATCAGTCAGGTGACCCTGGGCGGGAGAACCCCCAGACCTTCTGTCCACATGGGGTAAGGAGGGGTCATAGCAGTAGTGGTACCTAGCATGGCCCGTCCCCTGCTGCCCTCGTCCTGAGCCGTGGGGCGGCGTGGGGCCTGCCTACAGGAGATCGTCTTGGGTCTCTGAATTCCCCAGGCACTGATTTGAAAGAACTGGCTGGGGGGGGGGGAGGCAGGGGGGGACAGCACAGAGCATCCACGGACTCTGGGCCATTGCACTGGCATTGGTAGGAAAACTGCTCTGCACACCAGGTTCTAACGTGGCTCGGGGAGAGGAGCTGGCCCACCCGTCGGGATGGAAAAGCAACCTAAAAGTAGGAAGTCCAGCCCCCAAGGAGCAGGTACTGTAGGCCAAGACCCCACGGGCCCCCCACACCCTGAGAGTGACAGGGGTACACTGGGGCCCGGGCAGCAGCAGGCCTGTCCGCTCAGGGCCACTCGACTTGTGGTAAGCCACCCTGCCAGGGGCCATCCGGGCTGCATGGAGGAGCCTGCTCCTGTCACCCCGTGGACACTCTGACCCGTTGCCCACCTGCCGGAAGGGTGCCCATGCGTCCCTGTGGCAGCGCTGGCTCCCTGGTGAGCTGTGAGGGGCCCCACTGGGCGTCTGGGCACAGGGAGCTCAGAGCGACCCCTTCCCCGGAGGAAGCCGTTCCTCCCGGCACCCTGACTGAGCTCCCGAGACCTGAGCACCCAAGGCCAGAGCCAGAGCATGCCAGGGTGGGGTCAGCCTGGAAGGAGGCTCTGTTTCCTAGAGATTGGTGCCATGGGGTATGACATAGAATCCAGACATGAAAAACAAAAGGAGGCCCGGTACCATGGCTCACACCTGTCATCCTAGCTACTCAGGAAGCTGAGGTCTGAGGATCGTGGCTCAAAGCCAGCCCTGGCAGGAAAGGCTGTGAGACTCTTATCTACAAGGAACCACCAGCAAACCAGAAGTGGCGCTGTGGCTCAAAGTGACAGAGCGCCTAGCCTTGAAAAAAGCTCAGGGACAGCACCCAGGCCCCGAGTTCAAGCCCCACAACCTACCCAAGATACAAAACCAAAACCAAGAGGGAAGGAGGCCTTCCTTACAGCCTCCCTCGTGGTTGGGGCCGTGTGTACCCGCAGGGATCACTGTAAGAGAGTCTCTCACACCCAGCAGACAGCCAGGCCACACTGCTTGGAAGGAGCGGAGCCGGGGCTGAAGCCAAGGTCCCTCTGAATCCTCATGTCCTTTCTCTGAAAGCAAGGAGGAAGTACCTAGCATCCCTTCGCAAGATCCCAGAAGCTGCCTCTGTCTGAGCTACTCAGAATCAGAAGCAGTGAGGTGAGGAGCAGCAGACAGCTCAGGAGAAGCCCACAGCCCCGCCCCCATTCCCCTCTGCCTTGACCATGAGACCTGCCTGAGCCTGCAGGCGCCCAGCATGGCCACCAGATGGCGACTGCAGGCTACTAAATCAGACTTTATCCTGGAGACCACTAGGAACCTGTGGGTGGATTTTTTTTTCTGGCAATTGAAACGGCTCAAGGGAGAGAATCAATGTGTGGATGTGGATGTGTGTGTGTTTGTGCGTGTGTGTGTGTGTGTGCATGCGTGCATGCATGCTTGCCCATCCCGGTGTTTGCACTCAGGGCTTGGATTCTGTTTCTTAGGCTTTTTAAACTGCGACTCTTAGATCTCAATCTCCTGAGTAGCTAACATTACAGGTGTGAGCCACAGGCACCCAGGGGATATTTTTAACACAAAGTGGGTAAAATGGCTAGGCTGCAGAGAATCTCGGATGAGAGAGCAAGGTTGGGGTGGGAAGGCGGGATGGGACGGGAATGGGGGGGAACCGCTGGCATTCCTGGGCCCCACCCCCACCCCCAGGCCTGGGTCCCCAGGGCCCGCAGGCGGGGCTAGTCCATCCTCATGGTGTAGCCCTGGATCATGCTGTTGAAGTAGGCGGGCGTGTTGCGTTCCGGGTAGAAGAGGATCAGGTAGCATTTGGGGCCGAAGTACCCCAGGCTGATGGCCAGGAAGTTGAGTACCGTCACCAGGAGGTCCAGGATGGTGACCAGCACCCCATTGTGGACAGCCATGAAGGTGCAGAGCGAGACGGAGGTGGTGAAGGAGAAGGCCATGCAGAAGGTAATGAACTTGGCTTCGTTGTAGCTCATGGGCAGCCCCTTGCCCATGTAGGCGAAGCTGAAGCCCACCACGGAGAGAAGCACGTCCATGCTGGTGTTCAACAGAAGGCCCAGGCGGTAGTTGGGGTGACAGGAGACGATGGTGACGCTGGGGTCCTCGGGATCGGTGTGGCTCGTGGGGTCGATGGTGGGGGCTGCCAGCATATTGCCCGCCACCAGGGCCGCCTTGATGGCCGTCATGAACGCCACAGACACATAGGCCCCGTGGCAGCGGACCCAGAGGCCGTAGGCCCGAGGGAGGCGGCTGGCCATCTGGAAGATACAGACGATCTGGAAGGAGCGCACGGCCACGCAGGAGATGCAGACGGTGAAGCAGAGGGTGAAGAAGGCCTGGCGCCAGAGGCACGTGAAGACGGTGGGCGGCCCCACGTACACGGGCACCATGCCAAAGGCCAGCAGCAGCGGCGCCAGCATCACGAAGCACATGGGGCCCCCTGCCGAGCGTACCATGGGCGTCCGGAAGTGCCTCCAGAACACCACCAGGATGGCCAGCGTGCTGAAGAAGCCCAGGGCGGCCAGCAGCACCACGATGATGGTGGATGCCTCGTGCCATTGCAGGAAAGCCAGCCGCCGCCTGAAGCAGGAGGCGGCGTTCCCGCGAGACCACATGGTGCTCGGGCAGGGCTGGCAGTCAAATTCATCTGCAAAAGCCCACACAGAACTCCCGTCGGCGCTGCCCCATCTCACGGAGGAGGACACACTCAGCTAGGTGAACTCATCGGCCAAGTCCCAACACCAGTGGGATACAGAGCAGGATTTGAACCCAGATCTCTGAAGATTACCATCTGCCATTCCTTCCTCTCAACCACTCCCTCAGGAGTCCATTTAATGAGCAACGCTCTGAGCACGGGCTCTCACAGCAAAGGTGGAAGGTGATGGAGAAATGGCTGAAACCCTGGCCCCTGACCAGCTAGGGAAGAACAAACCTTCTATAATCTTGCCCAGCCCCAACCTCACGCTCAGGGCTCTGCCAGGCACAAGGCCGGGGCTCTCATCAACAGATGAAACCATGCACTTAATGACTCAGCTCTGAACTGCACTGAGCACCAGCCTGGAGAGGGAGGTGATGCTGTCCCTGCCTTCCTGGAGTTTGTGTTGTTGGGGACAGATGGTGTTTCTCCCATTAAGGAGACACTGCATGCACACACACGCGCATGCACGCACGCACGCTTGTGTGATGATCAGCCATTCTGTGCTCCAACTGCACGGGGCACTTGGGTAGGCAGATCCGGGCCTATCCCTGTCCCTGTCCCTCAGAGCTGGGATTGCCGCTTGCCTGTGTCAGCCAGTGGACAGACATTCATTCTGTGACCTAGCACACAGGCCTAGGCTGTGGGGGGGGTGGGTGGAGGGGACCAGGGAAAGTCCTGTAGCAAGGGTCTGAGGTCCCTCCTTCCTCTGGCCCCCAACCAGCCGGGGGCTTTTACTCCACACCAGCTACTGGGCAGCTACAGGACTTCCCGGACACTGACAGTCCCTTGGAGAGACCCCAGAGACCCTGCCAAAGGGAGGAGCCTCCAGAAGAGCCCAGGGCGGGTGGGCACAGTGCACCTGCAGGCTCAGGGGGAGGAGAAAGGAATGGGCAAAGCAGGAGACAGGATGGGGGGAAGGGAATGGTGAGGAGGGGTGGAGGGAATGAGACCCGAGATTGGCAGTGTGGGGCAGAGCACAGGGTGGGGCACGGCAGGGGGTGGGAGGTGGCAGGGTTGAACACAGGTGTGGTCATGGCCTGGGAGGGCAGGAGTAGGGATGGGTGTGGCTGGGGCGGGGCCTGGGAGGGGAGGGACTTGGCCTGGTAGGGGGTGTGGCCTGGGCGGGGCGGGGGCGGGGCCAGGAGCCATACCTGCTGTTTGGTTGTAAAAGGTGCCGGGTGGGCAGTCGTGGCACTCGAAGCAGCAGGGGTGGAGGCCTATGGCCTTCTTCTTCTGCCCAGGCAGGCAGCTTTTGGAACACATAGACACAGGGACCTGGCGGGAGGGGAGGAAGGCAAGAGACTCTGAGCCCCATGCCCCGTCTCCGGGGGAGCCCTGCCTGCTGGCGCCAGCAGGCTGCTGTAGGAGGCAGCCTGACTGCCACCCTCTTAAGTTTCGCCAGCACCTCCACTTTCCTCTGGCGAAAGCACCCGGATATTGAGGAAGGAACTGCCCAAAGCTGCGAGAGGACAAACTGAGAGGATCACATGACCAGCCTGTGCCTCCAGGGTCCTAACCCAGGGGGAAAAGGGGGTGGGGCAGCTCTTCCCCCTAGGCTGGATAGGGGATTGAAGCCTTAGCCAAGGGCCTGGCGCACATACACAGGTCCCGTAAAGAACTATGTGGCACAGGCTCCGGAACCCCTTGATCTCCCCCCACCTGGAGCCGCTAAAGCCTGAACTCCACAGTTTCCAAGGACCCAGGCTCTCCACCCCAAACAGAGACACTCCAACAGCTGTTGCTGGTGAGTCTCTGGGTGCGCCTTGGGGAGAAGGGTCCCACCCTCTGCCCTGCCCCTGGGAGCTGACACTGTTGTCGCCTGTGTGCCAGGAGACGTTGCCAATGGGCACCAGCTGCTGCTGCCTGGGAGAGTACAAGGCCACGCTCTTGAAAGGATTCTGGCTCAGGTCCCATTGCCACTGGATGATGTCCAGGTACAGGGGCATGTCGCCTTGCTGGTCGAAGAAGATCTGGCTGTTCAGGAGGGTGAAGTTGACATCCCACAACTCTCTGAGGAGCTGGAGAGGAGAGGGGGGTCAAAGGGAAGGAAGCAGGCTGGCATCAGAGGTCGGGCCAGACCTGGACGGATGGCCACCACCCCACTAGCCTTGGTCTCCCCACCTGCAAAAGGAGGACTTCCTAGTCCTGGGAAAACAGCCCAGTTCAGAGCCCCGTGGCTCAGAGCGCTGGTTCAGGGGCCCAGCCTCAGCTCTGCTGTGTGCCTTGGATCTATTGCTCACCCTCTCTGTACCTGTTCCTTCTTCTGTCTTCCGGGCTCCAGAGCCGTACATGGGTTGAAATATTTTAGGAGTTTAGAACAACACCTGAGAAGTGCACTCCTGGCTCCTGAGTAGCTGGCCCAGCTGTGCCCTCCATTGACCATGTGACTGGGACAGTCGCTGAAGCTACCTGGGCTGATGGGTCAAAAGGCTCCATTCTGCAAGCCCGTAGGTCACCCCGCCACCTTCACTCTCCCTCCACACGCAGGAGAACCCGCTGGACTTTGCTTTGGGGACCCAGAGCTCATCGTGCTGCAGGGATGAGAGACAGGTATCCAGAGAGTTGGGACCTGCTCAGAGGGTGAGCAGAGCTCCACTCCAGAGGTCCCTGGGCCTCACACAGGGCACCGGGCCTGAGGGCACTGGTCCCAGAAACAAGAGGAGGGGATGCCACGCAGGGGGTCAGCCTGAAGATGGACAGCAGACAGGAGGCCCCTGGGCAGCATGCCCCACACAGACCAATGTCCAATGACCAGTGACCTGGCCAAATGCAGCAGAGCAACCTGGGACTCTGCTCCCAGGGGTCCAAAAGCACAGTCCCTGGGGTTCTTCTGCACATGTGGGGACTCAGGACCCCATTTTCCCTCCTTACCAAGCCCCATCCTCAGAGCTGTGAACGTCCACCACCCAGCTCACCTCTCCAGCCTCCCTCTCCCCTCTCCTAAGGTAAGCGCTTGTCAGAAACAGGGAAGTCAGGCACCGGTGGCTCATGCCTGTCATCCTCTCTACTCAGGAGGCTGTGATCCAAGGATCATGGTTTGAACCCAGCCCAGACAGGAAAGTCCACGAGACCCTGATCTCCAGGGAACCACTAGAAAGCCGGAAGGGGAGCTGGAGCTCAAAAGATGGGACATCAGGTTTGGCAAAATACCCCAGACCCTGAGTTCAAGCACGCACACACGCACACACACACACACACACACACACACACACACACACACACCCCAGACCCTGAGTTCAAGCACGCACACACACACACACACACACACACACAGAGTGTGGACCCCAGGACACACACACACACACACACACACAGTGTGGACCCCAGGACACACACACACACACACACACACACACACACACACACAGAGTGTGGACCCCAGGAAGGAGTTGGGGTTCTGGAGGTGGAGGCCTGCATCCAGGCCCCGCCCCCCTCCTGAGCCAGGGGGCGGGGCAGAGCAGGCCCTTGCGGTCTCCGTGGCAACGCGGCGACGCCTGGCCGCCCCGCGCAGGCGCACAGTCCTCACCTGCCAGGGGCGCACGGGCCCCGGGGCGCACGCGGTCCGGTTGCAGCCCAGCAGCCGGTGCAGGGCGTGGGCCACGGCGTAGACGGCGGCGTACACGCTGAACACCACGCGCTCCCCGGAGAGCGTGAGGACGTCTCCGTAGGAGGCCGTCTTCCAGGGGCAGGTGTCGCACTCCTGG